TGCAAAATGTTAATCTTAGAGGAAGCTGTGTGAAAAGTATATGAAAACTCCCTGTACTATTTTTTGTTTCAAACTATAGAGTTAAAATAAATATAAAAGGAAATTTAAAAGAAAATGGCCAAAAAATAAAATGTTTTATGTATATAGATAGATATACGTCTCTCTATGCGGATAGAAAGAGAGGTGTATCTATCTCTCTCTATGTATATATCCAAATTTCCAATAGCAGGAGGTACACACCTAAGTAGAAAAATGTTCAAAGAGCATGAATAGGCAATTCCTAAAATAATAAAGATAAAAAAGGTCAGAAACATACATATAAATTATTTCATACTATATTCTAGAACACTAAGCCAAAGAAACAGGAAAAGTTTGAATCTTGGTATAAAAACAAATTACAAACACAGGAAAACACAAATATAAAAAAGTATTTTAGACATTTAGATGATTTTAAAATGACAAGATGCATTTGAACATAAAGTCAGCAAAGCATTTCTTAGAATAGAATTATTTTATTCCTAGAAGTGGCCTTGGAAACTATCTAGTCCAATTGCCTCATTGTACAAATAGGGAATTGCGAGCCTGTAACCATTTAGTGATAGTCTTGTCAGCCCATCCTGATGGGGCCATATCTCCCCCTGTATGCATAGAAGAGATCTACTTTTTTTCCCCAGATGTCAAAGCAGTTCTTGTTTACCACAATTCCTAAGTTAATTAGCTTTAGTTGTTCTTTGAATTGGAAACAGAAGCAGAGATTTGAGAGAATTCACCCAAGATCACAACAGAGGGACAAGGAAGTACTAGGATATGAACCTGGGTGTATCTGACCCTAGATACCATGTTTTTTTTAAAAAGGAGTTTTAAATTTTATTTTTTAAATTTACATAAAGGTGCACTTATTTTGGTATAGAGTTCTATGAGTTTCACAGATGCCTTAAGTCGTGTAACCCCACTGCAATTAAGATGCAGGGTAATTCTGTTACCCAAAATCATTCCCTCATGCTGATTGTTTGTAGTCAACCTCTCCCCTCTCTCAGATCCCAGGGAAACATTAATCTATTCTTTGTCCCTGTAGTTTTACCTTTTACAGAATGTCATTTAAATGGAATCATGTGAAATATGTCCTTTTGAATCTGGCTTCTTTTACTTAACTTTCTGTATTTGAAAACCATTGATGATGTTTCGTGTACCAATACTCTGAGCAGCATTCTGTTTCATGGATGTACCACAGTTTGTTTATCTCTTCATCTGCTGAAGAGCATTCATCCAGAGGGCTTCTAGTTTTGGCAATTAGTGTACAGCTGCTGTAAACATTTGCACACAGGAATAGGATTCCTAGGTCATGTGTCAAATGTATGTTAACTTCATAAGAAACAGTCAAACTGTTTTCCAGGTGGCTGATAATTTGTATTCCCGCCTGCAATGTATAAGAGTTTCAGTTGTTCTGTATCCTCATCAGCACTTGGAATTGTCAATTGTTTTTTTAACATTTTTATTTTAGCTTTTCTAATGAGTGTATAGTAGGGTGTCATTTTAGTTTTTAATTTGATTTTCCATAATGACTAATGATGTTGTGCATCATTTTATGTGCTTATTTGCCATTTGCATATCGTCATGTGTTAAGTGTCTGTTCACATCTTTTGCCTATTTTTTATGGGGTTGTTTGTTGACTTTGGAGAATTCTTTATTCATTTATATATTCTCTATACCTGTCCTTTGTCAGATAGATGATTTACAAGTATTTTCTCCCAGTCTATGATTTGTCTTTTTGCTATGCTAATAGTGTCTTTCATGGAGCAAAAGTTTTAAATTTTGTTGAGGTCCAATTTATCAATATTGTGTTTTATTGCTTGTGCTTTCGTGTTTGTATCTAAGAAGTCTTTGCCTAACCCAAGGTCACAGAGAATTTCTCCTAAGTTTTCTTCTCAAAGTTTTATAGTTTTACATTTAAGTCTAGATGAGGTATTTGTTTTATTTATTTATTTACATATAGATGTTCCAGGTGATCCAGATGATTTGTTAAAAAGATTATGCTTTCTCCAATCTATTGCCTTTGTACTGTTGTCAGAACTCTTTGTGCATATTTGTGTGGATTTCTTTTTAGATTCTTCTATTCTATTGATCTATGTTTCCATCAATATCATACTACCACACTTAGTTTAGCTTAATAGTAAGTCTTGAAATCAGGTAGTGTGAATCCTCCAAGTTTGCTCTTCTCTTTCAAGATTATGTTGTCTATTCTCGTTTCTTTGCTTTTCATATAAATTTTAGAATCAGCTTGTTCACATCTATAAAAATTCCTGCGTGGATATTGATTGGGATTGAATTTTATCTGTAGATCAATTTGGGGAGGATTGACATCTTAATAATCCTCACTTTTCAAAGCCAGGAACATGGTCTAGCTCTCTATTTATTTATGCTCTTGGTTGTGTGTATGCGTGTGTGTGTGTGTGTGCACGTGTGTGTGTTAAGGAGATAAAATAAGGAGAAAAAAGGTACAACAAACTTACCAATGGAATAGTCTTTCTTCACATTTTGATTCTCTTCCCAATCTGCCTATTTTTCACTTTGCACAGTCTTTAGGTAGTTGTGTTTTTTTAATTCTTTCCAAGATGTTTAGTTGTAATCAGTGGGACAGAGAGCCCATAGTGGGCTTACTACGTTTTATGCAGCACTGAAAGCCAATTGGTTTTAGCTGTGATTATCTAAGTCCTTCTGGCGTGGTGATGCCATGGATTGTGGAGCACCCAGAAGTGTGTTTTTTTTTTTTTTTTTTCCAGTTTGAATAAACCAGCTGCGAGACAGCTTCTTGAAGGTGGGATTGTTTAATGTGAAGGATGTGCTTTCTGTATGAAAGTTCAAAGAATTTATCTAGGGTGCATGGAGGCCTCGGAGAGAGAGTGGAACACAGAACCACTCTTTCTTTTAAGTCCAATAACATTTACTTAGATTCAAGAGTTTCTTCCATTCTTGACAGTGTCATGATGTGTCATTTAAAAAGAAATGAAATGAAAATTGATGTGACATTTAGCAGAATCACCAGGGTCTATTTAGGAGCATTTCTTAGCAGGCATTGCCTTGCTGACAAATAAAAGGAGTCAGCATATGACACAGGATCTCATAATATTACCATTTATTTAACCCAAAAGAGAATACAGATTCCTATGTCCAAACACTTCTCAGGTGACTGATAAACTCCAGCACCTTCCAAACAGTATTATATCCCCTAAATCTTAAGAGGGCTTCTTATCCAAGAAGATTAAGGAGCTTTATCTTCTGATAGAGATAATAATCGAATTTTCCATTTCATCTCCAAGAACTGGAAATCACAAAATGGGTTCTCTCAAGCACAATATAAATTGCCTATTTTATGTACGTCCTACTTTTCAGGCTATTTGTAACATAGACACATTCAAAAAATGTATCTGGTCCTTTTTCTGTTTTCTAGTTACATAATTCAGAAGTCTTCAAGGTTGCTTTTATTATAAATCAAGATGCTGTTCTAGAGATCCTCAGACTAATTCTTTACTAAAACAGTGTTGCAGAACAGTCCAGAGCATTGACTAAAGTGATCCACTAAAGTAAATTTCACCTACAATTATTTGATATACCTGGAGGATGTTAATACATTTTTTGTTAAAAGTTTGATTCTATACTTCAGTGTAGGCTGACTTCTGAATGAGATCAAAATTTGTATGTTTGTGAAACCAGGGAAAATATTTAAATTTTTTGCAGAGGGACTATACTTTTCCTTTGAGAATGGTTCAATGTTTTTAGCAGATAATATCTTACAAGTTGTATTTTTAAATTACATAACAAAATTATGATGTATAAATCTCAACAAGGGTCAGAAAAACTCAAGGACTTCGCAAAGGTTGAAGTGTGTATCTTAACCACAAAAGTATGCAGATACGTGCAGAAATCCAATAGGAATACCTTATTGGAAATTTATTTATTCATTCATTCGCTATTTGTGCCCTAGGACTGTGCTAGCTCTCAGGTTGCACAGATGATTAATACATGATTCCAGTTTTTTAAAAAACCCTCAAGTAGGGCATTGTGAACTGATTTTAAAACAGAATGGTACTTATACTTTTCAAATGAATATTTGGTCCTTCATTTAGTCATGCAAATGAGGGTGTGAGAGCAATTACATTGTACCCGTAGGCCTCCAACGGATAAAACATGTCACAATATATATGTAAATGCTTTATTTATAATATATAGCTTTTTGTAGTTTATAAATTGCATTTGAGTTATACATTTAATTGTCATAATAATCTTCTGGTTAGGTCAGGCATGTATTAAAAGCCCCATTTACAGTTAATGGAACTGAAGCAAAAGGAAGTTGTATAAATTTAATCCTAGAGACAGTTGAAAATGCTGGGGCTGGGGCTCCAAGGCCGGTGCTCACTTTATAACAACCCAGTGTTTCTCAAAAGCTAAGAGCCTAGCCTGCCGATTTGTAATCCTGGGATTAAAATTGTTTTGAAGTACTGATTGAGCTAATACTGTTTAGATAGCTGGGAAGCTACATAAATCTCAGTGTAAGTGTCACCTCTCCTGGGAAACTCACCTTGATTAGACCAGTTAGGATTCTCATTGACAAATTCTTACAATTACTACCCCAATAATTTAACCACTTTTTACAATTGATTTATGTCCTACCTAAAAACAATCCTGTGTGCCCCACTTTGGGAAAGACGAATTAATTATTAAGTAATTATTCCTTACCATCTTTCTTCCTGGGTAATATATATTAAATTTCACGAGGATTTGCTCTCTTCACTTCTGTATTAACAGTGCCTACCATTGTGCCTGACGCATAGTAGGTACTCGGTAAGAACGGGTTTAGTGAATTAATATTTGCCTATGTGTGAATAGTGTATGTTTACAGTGTGTGACTGTATATATTTTTTTCTTTTTATGAATACTTAAGTGTTTGCCTATCTCCCAAGTCTGTTTGGGTACAAAATAACCATTTTCTTCTACATTCACAGGATTATACCTTGACAATGTACTTTCAGCAAGCCTGGAGAGATAAGAGGCTGTCCTATAACGTAATACCTTTAAACTTGACTCTGGACAATAGAGTGGCAGACCAGCTCTGGGTGCCCGATACCTACTTCCTGAACGATAAGAAGTCATTTGTGCACGGAGTGACCGTGAAGAACCGCATGATCCGCCTGCATCCAGATGGGACGGTCCTTTATGGCCTCAGGTCTGTAGCGCCCTTTTCAAAATCGAACTTTTCCTGAACAAAACAGTTATTGCTTTTTATTGGAGGGGAACATTGTGCTGTTTTCCTTACTCCTCCTCCAATTCTGTGATTAGCAGTTAAACCTCCTATCCATAGACATCTGAGAGCTGAGGGGAGTGTGTTTACAAAGAGACTTACCCCAGCTGAGACTAAGTTTTTCTGAATTATCTTCTAATATCAGCTGCTGAACCTAAAGCTGCTTTCTTTAAGGAGTAGGGATAAACAATATCAAAAGAGCTAATATATAAGATTTCCTTAAAATGGAAAAAAAAATTACGAATGCCGAATACTTGTTTGAATGTGGCAGATGCTCTGTTTCATAAATTGCTCCTAAGGTGCGTAAACTAGGTCTGGTCCTCTGATGACAGGAAGGCTTTTGGTGCCCTCTCACCCTCCAAGGAGCAATCAGATTTACAAATAAATAAAGTCATTATCTCATGTTTATTGATAATGAATTTACACTATTAAATGTACTTTTATGTAAGAAAAGAATTGTGAGGCTCTGCTCTTTGGGTGAGGATGAATTGTAAAGTAAGACAATTTCTTCTTTTAAAGTTTATTTTGTATTAAAAGCAATAGATGCTTTCCTGGAAAAAAATGAATAAAAAAAGTTATCTATCTTACTGTGAAAACATTACAATATAACATTACAGTATACAATAAATGCAGACTCCTCTGCATTTACTGGGGAGAAACTCTAAATTCTGAAATGTTCAATTGTGTCAGATCTATTCTGTTTTATATAAATATGTCGTTACCTTATCATAGTAATCATAATGATAACAATAGTATTATTTATTTATTAAACACTTGTTAGGGGTCAGACACTGAGCTAAGTGCTTGCCATGCATTATTATAGTTGTAATCCTTACAAAACTTCGTAAGTTAAAAACTGTTATGATCGTTAGTTTCAAATGAAGAAACTGAGACTGATGCAACCTGGCTAAGATCACAAAGAATGTAAGCTGTGAAGATGGGATCTGAACTCAGATCCAAGTTCAGAGCCACAGCTCTTAACCGCTACACTGGGATGCTTCTCACTCCCACATTTTTCTTATCTGTTATATCTCCTTTTCATGATATTCAGTGTGTCTGACTGGTACATTGTCTTAGACAGCTTCTTTGTTTGTTAATCATATTTGTAGAGAAAATGGCATTTGTTTATCAAGGGAGAGAGGTGCAGGGGGAGGCAGAGAGAGAGCGTGTTTGTATTATTTGTCAGCCACTGGAAATAAAGAGATGAATTGGATACAGGCACTGCTCACATACATGCCTTAGGAAGTAGAGAAACAGCAGATAGATAAAATAAGTTGACTGGCAATGTCTGCAAAGATTCCACCAAAGTGGTGAACTTTGAAAGCACTAATGGAAAGAATTGTGTTAGCAGATATGTTGTGCTAAACTTATTATTTGGAATCAACTACAAAGCATATGGTATCACAAAGACCTTGATGAGAGGGTGACACGTGGGCAGTGGGGGAGATGAGGGATGAAAAGAGGCTGTAGTTCACTTTAAGAGTTAAGCACAGGGTGAGATCAGAATCCTGAATAAGGCAGAAAGAGGCATAGAAATAATGTCACCCACTCAGCAGCGAATGATGGGGGAGAGGACTCGCAGGTGGCAAGTTCTGGCTAAGCACCAGACCCCGTGCTGGATGCATTTTGCCCAGCAAATCATTGTGCAGCGATTACCCTGAGCTCTTCCTCTTTCCTTGGGACATCCACCTTTAGAGCAGAGATCAAATTGTATTCTCTTTTGTATACCCAGCACTGACAAAACACCTACGCTGTAAATAAACTCAGTAAAGATTGTCAGTGAATTCTGAATGCACATATACAAAATTGAATGGATGGAAAAATAAACAATCAGAATGTCTTTGGAATTGAGAGGGAAAAGAGAAGACCAATATAGATGATAAATATGCCTTCTTTATATCATAAAGCCAATAATCAGACACAAAAGCTGGTAACTATTCATTCTTATCATTAAGGCCAACTGGACACCATTGCTCTAACTCAAACTCATGGCAGTAGGAAATCATCACTCTCCCATCTCTGCTTCCAACAAGGGCAGTTGACAAAATATGCAGGTTCCTGAACACATCTGACATGCATAAAGTTAACACTTCTGGACAGAAAAGGTTCATGAATTGTGATTGTTCTATCATTTGTCTTGTTAATTCTGCGTTTGAAATTGATAATGAGGTTTTTCAGGAAATTTATAGATGTCCCATTCCAGCTTTTACTGATAAATAGTAAAACATTATTTTCATGGCTGGAAATTTAATGCAGATCACATATTCCGTTCTCAACTCCAGGAGGTTCATTTGCAATAAATAAGTAAAAGGAATTCAATTAAAATTACTGTTGCTAGGGTTGATTCAGCTCTACTTAGCCCCTCCTCCTCCTTACCCATCCGCCACCCCATCTTTCTCTATTGCTGACAGTCTAGTAAGAAATCTACCTGTGTCTGTTCAATAGTGGCTGCAGTGAGACAGCACTCAATATAGTGATTGTATTAATGTCAGTAGCTAGAACTCATTAAAGGACTTAGCATTTACTTGTCACTGTGCCAGAATTTTGCTTGTATTATCTCATTTAATAAAGACTGTAGCCCTACAAAGTAGGCACTATTGTTGTTTCCAGCTTACATGAAGAAACTAAGGAACTTGTGTACAAATTTACACAGCTACTGCTCAGGAAAGCTTGGTAGTTTGAAAGCAAAGATGTTGCTCTTCATTTCCATTCTGTCCTGCTCCTGAGGCACTGAGAAGATGGGAATAAAGAATAGTAGGAATCACTTGAGAGCATAGGTGGAAACGGCTTTCGTTAGATACAGACTTTGTTCTTGATTGATAAGATAAGGCCCTAAAGAGCAATAGGCCTGGGTCTTCTATGCATGGTGCATCTTTAGGTCTGAGGTTCACACCAGTTCCATCTTACTAAGGGGTGATTTTTGCTGTGTCGAATCCTGGGGCACAAGCAAGATCATTGCGAAGAACTTGATAATGGCAAAGCTCATCCGTCTGAATAAGGCAAATTGAAAAGCAACTGTGAAGACTAGACATAGAAGGCTGGGACAGGGAAAGCTTTAAATATCAAGGCAGTGACCAAGAAATAGGAAAGAACAAGGTCCCTGAGCTCAAGGTCATGCTAGTTCAAGGCAAAAGCAAAGGGCTTAAACTGCCCTCTAGAGATCCACAAACATTGGCAGGGATGAGGGGGTGGGATGGGCGGTCCTTCAGAGGATATAAGTAAGCTTCTTTTGTAGGATTTTATTCAGTGACATTTTCAGGTATTAAAACATCATAAAGATAGAGAAAGCAGTAAGCTTGTTGAATTTCATGGGTACATAAGTGTTCATTGTGTTATTCTTTCAATTTGTCTGTATGTTTGAAAATTTTCATGACAAAATTTGGAAAAGGAAAAAATGTTATGTTTCAGAGGCCTAGGAATCTCTCATTCTATTATCTAGGTAATATCACTCAAGATTTAAAAGTCTGCAGCCAAGGAATGATATTTCTGATCTCTTGGAGGTAGAGAATCACCTATACGTGACATCTGCTTTCAATAGCCATGTCTGAAAACGAGGTCATCTGTCTCAGAGGATGTGTGGCTCAGCGGGTGGGGTCCATGACCACAGACAGCCAGGCTAAGCCATAACCCAGGGAGGGGTGGTCACAGCTCTTCAGTTACAACCTTCATAATCCCTCTGTGAAATCATCCTCCTGCAACGGTGTGCCCATTGCCTCTGACTGTATGCAGCAGGAGCTCTGAGTCTACTCATGCTGATATATTGTTTGGATAGCAACAGTTTTAAGGATAGCACCTTGGGAGTACAGAAAATGGAGACTGAGATTTAGAAATATGGAAAATATTTTAGCTTATGACATTATTGTTATAAGCTAGGTTTTAAAAGTTTTCATTCTGATTGGATTTTTATTTCTCCATCACCAAAAAAAACACAGGTTAGCAGCTTCCTCTCAGTTATTCCACTGCTCTTCAGGTTGATAATCATTTTAGAGGCACAAGGAACAGAGTTCTAATGCCATGCTGAGAGAGAAATGGACACAACCGGGCAATGCGACCAACTTCCTTAACAAAGTATGATAATGAAACTTGCGTCTTAGTTTGGACTTTGTCACTGACTTCTTGTTGAACATTGAAAATCTTCTCCACGTTTTATTTTCCTCATATAGAAAAAAAGAGGGGATGAATTATGTAATATCAATTTTTTTTTACAACCCAGTTACCCCGTGAATCAATGATCAATGAACGTAAAAGAATTTATAATCTAACATCAGACTAGAAAATGAAATTACATATTTGGAGTAATATAGTAATTGGTGGTTAGTAAGTATTCCATGTTACTTACTATTTAATAATAAATGGTTGCTGGGGATATTTGATAAATAAATAGAAGGCTAGGACAGAGAAGCTTTAAATATCAAAGCAGTAGTTTTATATTATAGAGTTTTACCGCAGTTATCTTTTCATGATTCTGAACTAAGACCCTAGATTTGTTGTCTAGAATGAGAAGAGTAGGAGTAATCAAGTGGATTGAAGAGAATGGGAAAGATCTAGACCAGGCATGTCTAGAGTGAAAAAGGGGACTACTAAAGAAAACTTAAAAGGATTGTCAGAGTTAAGGACACAAACTTATAGTGGAGCCAATGATCTCCAGCCATTGCATTTGGCAGCATGAGGTCAGGAGTAAGGAAATCAGATGCCTGGCTTGAGACCCCAGTGGCCATGGCAGCTTAGAAAAGCTGCCCTGTAGCCCCAAGCCCAGTACCTCACCTGTAGCATACACGCAGTAATTTTCATTTAATCTCTTAAACCAAATCTTTCCTTTTATTCTCGTCATGTCTTCTCACTAGCCTATTTTCTCAACTTATTTAAAGATCTACAGGATACAGAAACAATTAAGGAAAATTATTAATAATGCTTTTTTTCAAGCT